AAAAATGCGAGACATTTGGAACTGCGATTGCCAAGCGTTTTAAAACTATAAATTGTTGTTATCCATCATCCGTTACAGCAAAAGTCCATTTCTGAATATAAGCCTCCTCTTAGATTGCTTCATAAGGAGGACATTTGCCATAGTCGCTTAGCGGGCGAGTTGACAACCGCAGTTTCCATTTACTAGTTGTGTTGCGTTCTTTGAGTATTTACACAAAGGTTGCGTTCCACCATAAATCGAAACGCAGCAGTGAAAAATAACCCGAGCCTATCAAAGATTTAAATTTTAAACTGATGAGTTAAGAAACGGATTGAAATGAATTTTCAATAAAGAAATTTTATTGCATATTTAAATTTCTTGAATTTTATACAAGTGCAGTCGTATAGTACAAAGCAAAAGGCAAAATTTTCATTTTGACATTCGAATACACCAATATATACTTCATCCAAGAGTTCTTGCCACATTCAGGATCAAGATTTTGGACAAACAAGGTACTTATTATTAAGAAGATGCTGCTACCCATGTGTTGGTTTATTTCTCTCCGTCGCTTTTTACGACAGCCACAGGACCATATTAGGCATTGGGTCATAGAATACTATAATACATACATAATAGAACGGGGGTGTGGGCGGAGCCCGGGTAGCCACTAAAATGCCACAAGACGTCAATTCACTCGTATAAATGTCAACACGAGATGTGTTTTGACGTTACCACGAGATGTATCGTCAAAAAAAAATGTTTGCACGCTATTTACAAATGAATAAGTATTAAAATCCGTCTGTCAACACACCGGAATCGGGTTTGTAGTAGTGATTTACTGATAATACGACGTAATTGCTTGTATGTGTGCTCCCGGCGACGCCGAACCTCGGTACAAAATAAGGTTGATAGCCAGTCTATTGTGTATTATAGTCACAAACTAGTAAGAGATTATAGTATTCTATGCATTGGGTAACTACACGGTTGAATTTCTCTTGTTAACTACAAATTCGGGCATCAATTATAATTTTGATGTCATATCAAAACTTTTTAATTTAAATTAAGTTTAATAAAACCTTCTTATAAACAGTACAAAGTGTTTATTAAGAAATAAAACAAAATTTTATGTAATGAACAAAAAGATATCTTTTCCATCTAAGCAATATAATCTGAGACCTTGTACATAAATTACTCTCTTTCTTGGCAATAAACGAAAAGAGTTTCAACATATTACAAACTTGGCGCAAGCAAAACAGTAAAAATGATTTAAAAATACTTTTACCAGAAATTAAATAATTCTTTTAATTAAACTTTTTTTATTTAATTTTGGCCTGTATAAAGCTATTATAAATGTCATAACTTTCACCGGTTTGCAAAAGTAAGTAAGTCGGTTATGGGCCCGCACTCTACGGAAAAATCTTCGTCGCGACTTCTTCCTAATATTCCTGATCCTAAATTGCCTAATCGTTTTCGCCCCATGCCTCTATTTCATAATAAAATAACAAAATATACCTTCTAAATATAAAAGCGCTTGTGCTTATGAGTGACTTGCGTTGGAATCTAAAAAGGGTCAACGAGTTACAGGCTAGGTAATATGACATAAATTGACAGTTGTATACTGCCATAATATATACATTTGAACCTGTTTAAAGTAATCTTTGTAAGTACACAATAAACAAATTTATATTTTTTGTGCTTCGATTAAATCAGTGTTCCGTAAGATATATTTTGCGAAAGAGTTTACGTAATTAAATTTGCCTGGCCTCTTCTATTCCATTTTTAGGGTTCCGTAGTCAACTATGAACCCTTATAGTTTTGCCATGTCTGTCTGTCCGTCTGTCCGTCCTCGCTTAATCTCTGTGACCGTTATCACTAGAAAGCTGAAATTTGGTACCGATATGTGTATCAATCACGCCGACAAAGTGGTAAAATAAAAATTGGAAAAAAATGTTTTATTAGGGTTGCCCCCCTATATGTAAAGTGGGAAGTGATTTTTTTTTTAATTTCAACCCTAACGTGTGATATATTGTTGGAAAGGTATTTAAAAATGAATAGGGGTTTACTAAAATCATTTTTTGATAATGTCAATTATTTCGGAAATAATCGCTCCAAAAGTAAAAAACAATGTGTCCCTCCCCCCCTCTAATTTTTGAACCATAAGTTTAGAAAATATGAAAAAAATCTGAAAAGTAGAACTTTATAAGGACTTTCTAGGAAAATCATTTTAAACTTGGATGGAAACGACAGTACCCACTACCGGGAGCAGTTGCATAAGCGCGGAGCGCTGCTGGAGCGCGAACATAATGGATACCCACCTTTAAACTCATAAGTGGGAACACTTATTGTGACGGACGGGAAACTACGGAACCCTACACTAAGCGTGGCCCGACACGCTCTTGGCCGGTTTTTTTATTGTTGCTTCCTGCGGATGTATCAAATTTCAAAGAGGTTTGAACTAATGGGTATATTTAGAAATTATAATAATTTCTAAATATACCCATTAGTTCAAACAAAATTTATAAGAGTTTTTAACATTTTGGAATACCTATGTTTATAAAGAAACGATCTTTAACATTTTATTTATAAGCATTTATAATATTTACAATTAATATTCATAAAACACGATATAAAAACTATAATATAGAAAAACTAAAACTAAAAATTTAAATTGTCATAAAAACCTCCTCCCCGTGGTATCGTTGGTCGTCGTGGTCTAACGCTGGCTACGTTTCCTCGCAGAATAGCTATACTTAGCATTTGAGCGAGAAAAGAACCAGCCCTCTTATCACCAGCAGCGACAACCAGTTGTGGATACAGCTCCTGTAGGAATTTCATTGCACGTGGACCCCACGAACCGATAGTCTGTACAGCAAATGGCACAAATATGTAGTCGTTTTTCAAAGACTCATATTTGCGCTATTTACTTAAATCAGCTGCCTCTAATGCTGACCCGGCTCTAAAAGAGGTACCCTTGATATGAAAGGCTGCCAAAGTGTCAACGGAAGTAGCATCCCACACTAGAGCTTTATGTCTCTCCCATGGGACCAAAGTCATACTGTCGGATCTCTTACCGTCGTCTCTAAATATTCTGCAAGGCTCTAAAACCGAGGGAATGTTTATGGAGACAAGAGCTCTTTGGATGACTTCGTTCAAAGAGCCGTGACGGGAACTACTACCTGCACTTTTCTTACATGAAAGTCCGTGGAGCCCAAACTCATCGACGCTGCTACCACAGGGGTACTGGTGAGGTTGACAAATTGCCGCTCCTAAATGGTAAGCTTTAGCGCAAGCTTTCCCTATCAAGCAATGTGCCGAGATTACTTGATGGTACAGCGTGTAACCACTAGCACTGGCAGGGTTGCCCTATCAATAGAGTTAAAGACATTTCTAAGGTCAACCTTCAAAAGAACATCTGCATTAGAATTTGTTAAAAAAGTACGTAACAAATGTATTGCCGCCTCGCTGGAATTTTGTCTTAAGGTTTGAGATTATGTACCTGCAAGCTAATTTTGAAGTAAAGCGTCGAAATGTGGATCCAACAGCAACAGCATCGATACCGTTATCCTTTTTTTGAAATCTTGCCCCATATAAGTAGGGAATGAAATTGGGATTGACATTACCAGAAAGCATAAAACTACATAATTTTGTAATGTCATTAAGAAGTACTCTACCAGTGTCACCGGCAGAGGTGCTTACAAAGTCTTTTAGATTATGAGGCGTAAACTCGTTAATGCCGCCGGCAGAGCCATTCGAAAATGACAAGATTGCGTCTAAAGTGTCTTTTTCCGAAATTTGTAAGAGTTGCATAGAAGTATTGGGAGGCAGCGGTAAATTCTATTTTTTATAGGATAAGGGTGACAAACGAGCACACAGTCCACTCGATGGTAAGTGGTTGCTGGGACCCATAGACACCTACATTTATCCTCGATTACGAATCAAAATGCAGATGCGTTGTCACCCGAGAGGACTAAGATGGAATGCCTCCTTTTCTGTAAAACGGGTTTCCGGTTCTCTACACTCACACTCACACAGCAGCGTTTAGCTACTACTTTACGCTGGTATTCTATGAGACCGTGGTCCTACCCCGGTAACGAGCCGACCTATTCGTGCTACAACTATACTACTTATGTAGCTGCAACATGGCACCACGTAAAAAAATTCTGAGAGGGATTGTTCGAAGGAGGTTTCTGACGAAGGCCATCAAGAGTTTTGACATTACTCGTTTACTCGTGGGATATATATTTTAAGTCGCGATCCATTATTTAGATAAAATTTGGGACAAGGTCGAGACAAATGAGTATTAATCGGGTAATCTAAATTTTGAAAAGAAGTCTCTTTTAGTTGAGACGTAAATGATTTATTTATTATTTTATTAAAATGAGATAGAGACAGATGGCGCTATTTGAGCAGTTAACATAGGCTCCGTATAATTTTTGTTTTAAAAATATTATAAACAAACTATACGTAACTTTTTTATAATCTAAGTATTAATTCTAACGTAATTTAGTGTGTAGAGTGTTATCTCGCTGTTTGGAGCTATATTAACAGTGCAAAGTTGATGAAAGTAATCCAGTGAATTAGTGAACTATCAATTGTTGTATTATTGAATTTATTGTAATAAGAAAGTGTTTTTAAAGTGAAGCGCTAAGGTACAGTACTAACGAACTAAGTCACATTGCTATCAACACTCTATTTTTGTGTTAAAGTGAAAATACATAAATATTGTATTAAAGTGACGGTTATGGTAGTTTGAAATGTATAAATTTATGTGACACGTATATCTGATTAAATCAGCGACATCTATGTGATAATAGATTACCTGAAGAGAATAACTATTTTTGAATTATCACGCCATCTACTAATTACTGGCGAAATATAGATACGAGCTTATGCTAATCGATCAGTTAGATTAAGTCTACGGTCACCCATTAGAGGGCGCGCGCATTCATCTGATTTGGGAATATTTTAGTTTTGAAATATGTCCTAGATTGTTAGTCATATTGAATCTATTGTGTGAATTAATGTCGCCACCAACCGAGACTTGTGCTGCATGTGCGAAACCTTTACCCAAAAGAGAATATCTACGTTGTTGTAATTGTAAAGGAGTTTATGACATTGAATGTCTAAATATAAGCAGTAAACGCTTTTATTCTTTTTATTCGTTTAATAAGGAGCGGAAAGATAATTGGAAATGCCTTTCATTTGTGAGCAAACTCCCGCGAACGAATAATTTGAATACACCAGTGCGTACTGCTGAGTCTGAAATTTCTAGTCCCCCGACTTTGGTTGTCTCACCAGAGAACTCGAATGTGGCAGTCCGCGGCAAACCACCTACAAAAAATACTCAGGACAAGAACATTCATGAAGAGGACAGCATCATCATGGAGAATATTATGTCAGAATCGCTCGATGAAGGTACAGCTATGGACTTCAAACTGCTTCTTGGTGAAATGAAGGCAATCCGTGCTGAGATGCGCTTGTTCCGTAATTCTATGACAGATCTTATGACTGCCATTAAGATGCAAAGCAGCCGCATTGACTCCATCGAAACCAGAATATCAGCCTTAGAAGACAAGTCAAAAGGCTTACAACGCTGTGAAGTTTCGACTTTGGAAGAGACAGTGTCACAGTTGAAGTCACAAATATTGGAACGTGACCAAGACTTACTCGCTAATGATATCCAGATGCGGGATTCCCTGAAACCAGTGGTGAAAATACCACACATATTATCTTGGCTATTGCCAAGAAATGAGGTCGTGCGATTGGCGCGTCGTGCTCAGCGTGATGCTCTAATACAGGCGGTACGACTACGACGTAATATCACCACTGAAGGTTTGGGACTGACGGGAATAGCTCGCACCATTTATGTCAACGAGCGTCTTACTAAGCATAATAGCCGGTTATTTTATGAAGCCCGTGCGACAGCGAAAAGGTTTGGTTGGAAGTATGTATGGTCACGTGATGGAAAGATTTATGTAAGGAAGGAACATGGGAGTGAGCGACATCGGCTTCCGTCGGAAGAAGATTTGACCAAGGTTTTTGGTGTGGAAGCTGTTGGCTCTAAAACTATGTCACTCGGCGAATAATAGGAATATGTTATTTATAATTATTTTTATACAAACTTCTTACACACAGCACACAGTGGTAGCTTTCGGTATGCTGCCACAATATACTGGAATAATATACCGATTGCAATCAAGGGCAGCAAAACAGTTGGCACTTTTAAAATAAAACTAAAAGAATACCTTTTAAATTTGCAAAGTAAGTAGAATTCTGTGTCGATGTATCACATTTTTCTTATAAAGTATACTGTGTCTAATTATTATAAAACTAACGAATACTTGCTTAATTGTAAATTTATTTATTTTGCTTTTGTATCTTGTCAAATAATTTAATTGCGTGTCTTGTGCCTTGCACATGCCTTTTGTTGCGCTTTTTGTTGTGTTGGCTTTTTGTTGTGCCCTTTTCCTAAATGTTAACAGTTTTTTTTTATTTTTAAATTGTTATAAGTATGTTTTTTTTATATATAAGTAAAGTATGTATTTTCATAAGTGTTGGAACCTGTGATTAGTGTAATAAGTTAAGTTTATTCTATTCCACCTATGTCTTTGGCGTTTACTGAAAATCAGTAGTTGTAGTTACCACTATGTGGTTTCTATAACATTTCTACTGAGTAGACGCCTTTTTAGTTCATTCCATTAAATAATTATGTTATGTTAATTTGTGTATATGTTTGGAACTAAATAAATTATATTATTATTATTATTATTAAAATTGGAATAAGCGAATGTAAATAATTTTTGATAACTCTTCGCAATTCCTAAAACAATTTTGAATATTGCATGACAGTGCCTTAGCAAGTTGCATTCTCGCACCTCCAGGAATTCTTTTAACCACTGATACGTACGTTACTATGAAAATTGAACAATTGTTCCAAAAAGAGTGATTAATTTATGTCATTAGGGATATTACTAAAAGAGTCACGAATTTTTACGGTAGGCTGTGAAGCCGAAATATTTTTACTATGGCATCGTTTAATGTGTACAACTAATCCCCTTTTACCCGTTTAAAGGTAACCTACCGTCGGTACAATTTTCACAGTCAATGTTTTCACACCGTACATATATATCGTTATTTCGTGTCATCACTTCAGGAAAACACATATAAATATATTACCACATATTAATTAATATTGAAATATATTATTTTTACGAAACATTATTTTCTGCATCTAATTAACAATTTAATCAATTTTTCAATATATTTTATTCATTTTGTTATAATGTCTTCTTCAATGTCAAGCCCATTTGTATTTTATAAGTCCGATCTTTTTTTATTAACTGGCTTTACGGCTCTGGGTTCTAGCTCATCTGAGCCCATCATTTCTTTCGGAATCTTCATATATTCTTTTTCTCCACAATATGCTGATGCGTCACTCTACGAAGGCCTTAGGAGATTTTGATGACAACTCAACCCAGCAGACAGTTGATGACGACAGCCACTCAAGTTCAAGCCCAAGCGATCAAAATAACTGGAGGTTTATATCGACATCAAAGTACTTGTGTCGTCGTTTTCTCTAATAGTCGACACGAGCGGACACTTAATTCACAAAATCGCATCACTTTTACGAATAAAAATCCACTTCAAACCATTATTTAAGCGACAAAATAGGAGCGACAATCCGTCTACGGCCAAGTTCCCACCAAAACTTCTTAGAAGTTCGAATCCGATAGGAATGTGAGAGTAAGGGAAAAGAGTTGCACCTGTGTTTGCGCACACCCCACACTCGTGCACTTAACTTTATCCCGGTTATATGTCTAGTTTCCCTTGACTTACTGCCATGATCGAAATTTACTCTGGAGAATATTGTTATTATAATTCCAGATAAAACCTTCATTTCATCTGATGGTTATTTTTTATTTCCTTAAAAGATTTCGTCGAAATTAAACGAATCGAATGTTAGCTTTGACGGCGTTCAAAATTAGTCGTAACAGCACGGGGTCGTCATGATCTTTTATGATCTTTGACGGGGGAAGTGCTCGTGAATCTGTCGAGAAATTCTAGATTTAAATTAAAAAAAGGATATTTTTATAGAATTATTTTAATTATTCCGTGTAGGTGTAAAAATATCTACTACCCCATATCGTCCCGTGGGATTCGTAAGAGGCGACAGAGGGAAATTGAAAACGGAGATAGGCAGCAGCAACTTCCTGATAATAACGCAAAATAACAAAAAACGTTGGTTGTCAATTCGCCTGCAAATCAAAGCAACTATGGCAAAATCCCTGATGAGGCAATAATGTGAGGGAGACCTATGTCCAGCAGTGGATTTTTATTGGCAGTAACGGATGTATGGATGGAACTTTAATTGAAACAACATTATTACCAGACTAGTGGTACTTAGTTATATTAAAGTCGTCGCCGTGGTTAAAATTACCAAGAAATACCTGATATTCATCTTAAAACTAATGGAAGTAAATATAAGATATAAATTTAATGTTAAGGAAGAAAAAATACATCGCAATTTAATACTAAAAAATCAATTATAATTTAACGCGTTCTACCAAGGATACTACTATACATACCGTACATACATTACACGCACTCTAATATTCACTTTAATATTCAAGTTTAATCACCATTGCACAAAGTTCTAAGAGACATATCTCTGCTCAGGATCAGCTTGTCCCCCGTCACCTTGTGTCCACATAGTTCAAACAATGAATGTCGCTGTCACTCTGTATTATCAGCGGCTCCATTCAACCAAATTTTGTAAAGTAAGACGTATATGTACATAATATGCGTGTTACTTTATACATTAATAAATACATATTGTTACCAAAAAACCAAATTTTTTTGTTTAGACTTATACGTTTTCTATACAATATTATTACCAATACGTAATAGCACACGAGAAAACTGTCACAGTTGGAAATATTTTCCAAAGCGGACAAGACAGCCAGGCAAAACAATGATCGCAACACCAAACGAACATCTTTAACGTTGCTTCTCATCGTCTGTCTTCTGTATTTTACGTCGGCATATTTCGCATATAATATAGTAATTACGTTATCTACGGAATTCATTAGATCTTCTTGCCGTATCCTATAGTTAGTTAGTAATTTTTTACACTAAATTGACGGTTCGGTAACGCAGTTGGCATTTGGTAACACGCCTTCATCATACAGCAGACATTTTTAGTGAAATGTAAAGAAATAAATACAGAGGAGTGATGAGTTTTCTTGGGCAGCAACCACACGGCAACAAACTTATAAAATTATTTACAAAAGTATCTAATTTTTATCAATTTAAGCTATTGCATAGCTTCTATCGCGGGCCTTGAGCGCGGGGACCGAATCTAGAAATTCCGTAACGAAAAAACCTCACGCTCCCCACTCCGACGGGCACGGAGGTGTGGCTTGAAGGCCGTGTATTATCTAACGTCGTTTCTTTTCGGCAGTCTTCGATACGGTGTTTGTGTGCGTGCAACTAGACGTATTGTACGACTCTACGAAGCTCGCACGAATCGAGACGAGCTGCTCCGAAATCGGACGAATACATAACGCAGCTGTTTATGAGAAAGTATATAGGTGTATAGGTATTTATGTACAACAGTGAATAGCTGTACTTGTAAAATTTGTGTATAAAGTGTTTTGAATATGAATGAACAAAGTACATTTATTATTTATTTATTTAATAAAAGAAAAAAAAATTGTTTTCTTATCGGTCACCACGCTTAAAAAGTGTAACTTGAATTAATATCAAAGAAAAAGAAAAAGAAATACTGCATAAATAAAATAAATAAATAATTATAATTGCATAAGTTGATACAAAATGTTATGCAATAGCTTTACCGCGGCAGTCCCGGAGTGCCACACGTCTTTTTTTTATTCAGTCTAAAGTAAACAAAACTTAGAATGTTTTTTTTTGACTATTAGGTACGAGGAAATAAATTTACTGCAACTGAAACGTATATAATTATTATTATTTCAAAAAAATTATAAACGACTTCAAAAGACTTAAAATAATATAATCATTGAAATTGGTTACTCGTCTTTTATTATTCGTCTATATTAGAGATGTGTGGAGCCGTGTAGTGGCGGTTGAGAATATCCACTACCCCATATCTTCCCGTGGGTGTCGTAAGAGGCGACAGAGTGACACAGAAAGGAGATGGGCAGCAGCATCTTCCTAATAACAACAATAACATAATAAAACACTGCGGTTGCCAACCCGCTCGCCAAGCGTGGCAACTATGGCAAATATCCCCCCATGAGCAACGACACAAATAAACGGCCCCCAGTCCCCGGCGGCCTCGCTATTCCTGGCTACGGTGGCGACCATGGTAACGGCGGGGCAGGGGGTGCTAAGAATCTCTGGTGGAGGTTCGGTTGCCACCTACGACGACTCGACCTGGCAACGTATAACGCACGCACCCTGAGGACTGACGAGAAGATACTGGAGCTGGAAGAAGAGGTAGACAAGTTACACTGGCATATTATTGGATTATCTGAGGTCCGAAGAGAGGGGGAGGACACGGTAATCCTCGAGTCCGGCAACTTGTTCTATCACCGGGAGGGCGACCATCTGTCCCAAGGAGGTGTCGGATTTATCGTCCACAAGTCTCTCGTCAACAACGTTGTAAAGATTGGGAGTGTGTCGACGAGGGTCGCGTACCTGATACTCAGAATCACCAAACGGTATTCGCTGAAGGTCATACAGGTCTACGCACCAACCTCGGCACATCCCGCTGAGGAGGTGGAGGAAATGTATGAGGATATTTCTAGAGCCATGCATTCCTCCAAAACCCACTACACGGTGTTGATGGGAGACTTCAACGCAAAACTAGGCACAAGAGAAGGCGGTGAGCTGAAGTTAGGGAAATTTGGAGTAGGGCAACGGAATCGTAGGGGCCAGCAGTTGGCTGACTTTATGGAGAAAGAGGGACTCTTAATGATGAACTCTTTCTTCCAGAAGCGGCCCCACAGGAAGTGGACCTGGTCGAGCCCCGACGGTTCGACAAAAAATGAGATTGACTTCATTATGACGACCAGACGCCAACTGTTCAGTGATGTCTCAGTGATCGCAAGGGTGAAAACCGGCAGCGATCACCGAATGGTTAGAGGCACACTGAACCTAAACGTTAAGTCGGAGAGGTCTCGTCTAATGAAGTCAACGCTCCGTCCCCCTCATGCTCTAATCCAGAATCCCGAGACTTTTCAGCTCGAGTTACGTAACCGCTTTCAGTGCCTAGAAGATTGCAATGCAGTGGACGATATGAATGACAAGCTCGTGGAAACTGTCCATGCGGTCGGAGCTAAGTTCTGCAAGACCCGCCGCAGAAGAACACAAAAACTCTCCGATCACACTCTTAATCTCATGGCTGTTAGACGGGAGATGAGGCTGCAATCGTCAACAGATTTGACAGCATACATGCAACTGAACAGACAGATCTCCAAATGCATGCGGCAAGACTTACGCAACTTTAATACTGCTCGTATTAAAGAAGCGATCGAGCGGAACCAGGGCTCCAAAGTCTTTGCCAGAGATCTGTCTGCCAGAAAGAGCCAACTGTCAAAGCTGAAGACTGAGTGTGGCAGCATCGTTTCCGGGACACCTGAGATTTTGAGTGAGATTGAGAGGTTCTATGGGCAGCTGTACACATCATCGTTGGAGCCACACGCAAGTGTGAGTAGATACAAGAGCAAGTCTTACCCGACACTATTCCGATGATATCCCGGACGTCAGTCTGAGCGAGATTAGAATGGCTCTCCAGCACCTTAAAAACGGCAGGGCCCCAGGCGAGGATGGAATTACAGCGGAGCTTCTGAAAGCGGGTGGAACACCGGTACTTGAAGTCCTTCAGAAGCTCTTCAATTCCGTCCTCCATGGTGGCACTACTCCGGAGGCGTGGAGCAGAAGTGCGGTGGTCTTGTTCTTTAAGAAAGGCGACAACGCTCTCTTGAAGAACTACAGACCGTTTTCCCTTCTGAGCCGCGTCTACGTGCTGTTTTCGAGAGTCATTACGAATCGTCTCGCACGCAGACTCGACGACTGCCAGCCTCCCGAACAAGCCGGTTTCCGAAAAGGCTTCAGTACCATAGACCACATACATACCCTGCGACAGATTGTACAGAAGACCGAAGAGTACAATCTGCCACTTTGCCTGGCGTATGTGGACTTGAGAAAGCCTTTTCGTTTTCTATTAATATATAATTATATAAAATATATAATTCCGTCGAAATTTGGGCGGTGCTACAGTCCCTTCAGCGGTGCCAAGTTGACTATCGGTATATCGAAGTGCTGAAGTGTTTGTACAGTAGGGCTACGATGGCTATCCGAGTACAGAACCAGAGTTCGAAGCCTATCCAACTGCAGAGAGGTGTAAGACAGGGTGACGTTATATCCCCGAAACTCTTCACCGCTGCGTTGGAAGACGTTTTCAAGCTACTGGACTGGAAAGGAATACGGTATTAACATCAATGGCGAGTACATCACTCACCTTCGATTTGCCGACGATATAGTCCTTATGGCAGAATCGCTGGAGGACCTTAGCACTATGGTCAATGACCTCAATGGTGTCTCCCAACGGATAGGTCTTAAGATGAACATGGACAGAACAAAGATTATGTTCAATGTCCATGTCACACCTATGCCGGTAGTTGTGGGGAGCACTATGCTCGAAGTTGTAGACGAGTACGTTTACCCGGGACAAATAGTCCGACTAGGTAAGTCCAACTTCGACCGAGAGGTCAATCGACGGATTCAACTCGGCTGGGCAGCGTTCGGGAAGTTACGACACATCTTCTCGTCAAGTATACCTCAATCTCTGAAAACAAAAGTGCGTGTTGCCAATGTTGACTTACGGATCAGAGACGTAGTCCTTCACTGCTGGCCATATGAGGACGCTCAAGGTCGCTCAGCGAGCTATGGAGAGGGCTATGCTCGGAGTTTCTCTGCGTGAAGAATCAGAAATGAGGATATCCGCAGTAAAACCAGAGTGACCGACATAGCCCAACGGATTAGTAAGCTGAAGTGGCAATGGGCCGGCCATATAGCTCGAAGAACCGATAACCGAAGGGGAAGAAAGGTTCTCGAGTGGCAGCCTCGTACCGGTAGGCGTAGTATAGGGCGACCCCCCACTAGATGGAGTGACGACCTGGTAAGACATGCAGGAAGTCGATGGATGCAGGTGGCTCAGGACCGTGCTTTGTGGCATTACTTGGGGGAGGCCTATGTTCAGCAGTGGACTTGTGAAGGGCTGTAATGATGATGATGATGATGAGAGATGTGTCATGATTTCTAAATTCATCATATTCTATCAAATATTATTTTATATATTAATGTATAATAATTTACTTATTTAACATTGTAACACTGCACTAGTAAAAATACTGCTGTGATCAGTGGTTTCTGATGATATTAATACTGTTAGCCTTTTGGCTTTTATAGTTTCACTGGTGTCAGGGCATATGAAAAACATTTTAAATCATTCCGCTAGGGTTCCTTGCGTAACGATGACTCTTATAAGAGTGTACAGTGTACGTGGATGAGTTATCCTACTGCCATCTGAACTGTGGATGGCGGACCCTGGCTCTGACGGCTAACTCGTGTAGTTCGATGTTTTGGGCGGTGAGAATCGCCCAGGGACGTGGGTGTACGGTGTGCACGCGTGTAGAGGGGTGTGCGGCTCGCATTCGCTGTGTCCCATCCGTTGGGCACCCATGTGTGATGGGCCGTCGACATTTGTGTCGTCACAATCTAGCGAAACTGGGGGTTTAATTAAAACGTTACGGGGTCTCTGAAGACTTTGCTTAACGTTTGGAGACGGAGCGTAGGTTGCTGCGTTTACCACTAGCGGGTTGGAATGTGTCTCAGCTTTCTCAAAGTAACGCCGAGACATTTCCTTGAAATATTCTGAGATCGTCGCAAGTTGACAATCTCTACGCAAGTGCGAGTTTCGCTGTACCACGAG